ACCACACCCTGCCCCACAACCACAACCTGTCCCACAACCACACCCTGCCCCACAACCACAACCTGTCCCACAACCACACCCTGCCCCACAACCACAACCTGTCCCACAACCACACCCTGCCCCACAACCACAACCTGTCCCACAACCACAACCTGCCCCACTACCACCACCTGGACGACTACCCCACCCTGCACGACTACCCCACCCTGCACTACCCAGCCGCCTTGTTCGACTACGGAGAACCCTTGTCTGGATGGACTTTGTGCCAATCAATGCGACGGGGCGTTCCTTGAAAACCCACTTGACTGTGGAGCCTTCATTCGATGTGACCACGGGCAGGAATTTTATTTCGTACGTTTTTTTTTACACAAACATCCTCCTCTTTCTGACCAGCGTCACAATGTATAAATATAATTTATTTTCTTCTCTAGGACTGCCCAGAAGGGACTCTTTGGGATCAATGCCTCCTGACCTGCAATCACGCCGACCTAGTGAATTGTGGCGATCGCCCTTAGCGCAACATTCCCGAGAGCGAATGAGAACGGTCTCACATGTAACTCGCAACAGAATAAAATTTCCTCTTTTTGAAATTATTCCTGGGGTTTCTATTGAATTCGCAAGGCGGTTTTCATAGTTTGCATTTTTCATTCATTATTTTATCATCCTCCCTGCCTTCTTGCCCGAGAATTAACTCCTTGGTCTAGAATGTCATTTGGAATAGAAACCCCCCCCCCTAGATTAATTACCAAAGATTATTTGTGTAAAACGTATATCTATTTTTTTTTCTTGGTGTCCAAATAGGTTTTGGATGCCGTTTTATTCGATATCTATCCATTCCCACTCTACCGTAACAATCCGCATATTATGGGATTTGTGGACAGGCCATAAAACTCGGGCATTTGTAAGCAAAAGTTCCCCTTGTCAACATAGTTGCTCTCATTAGTCATCATCGGCAGTGACTCTCATCTCATAAACCTGATTAACCTTTCACTCTTTGAGATTCTACCGCGTGCACAAGGATTCTGGATATCGACTACATCTCTGGGGTTGACTTAATTGCGGTGTTTTTCCGTAACTCTGAGAAGTCATAATGCAGGAAGTTTGTGACACAAATCCTCATTACATTATTGACCACCATTTCCATCACTTAACCTGAAATGCCCCGTATGTGATAGGGATCTTCTGATTCCAAAATTTCCTCACTGAATATTAACATTGCCAGTATTTTGTAATCTTGCACATCATTAGAAGAGACGTTGATGTTTTTTATGTTAATTTGTTGCGAATTTACAGTTTTTCCCAATTGCTAACGTCCGTTTCTCAAAACTACACTTCTGTTTTCAAAACAATTTGAACAAATCCCTGAACTCTGCAATCTTTTCACAAAACTTAATATCCGATTTCATCGCTAACGTACGAAAAGCGAAACTCAAAGTGCGATTTTCATATCTTCACGGACCTTCTTCGAAACTTAACGTACGGAAGAGGATAAGAAGGCCGATTCGACGAGCGCCAAGGATGGATGCATGGCTGACGACTACAATCCATAGGCCTATACTCCAACAAGTCCCTTCCAATCAATCACGAAGATTTTCTCATCGTTTAGAGTTGTCAGAGCTGAATGCTTCGTCTGAAACGTTGAAAGAATTTCTTACGTCGATGCAGAAATGTAATTGACAAGCGATA